ACACACACACACACACACACACACACACACACACACACACACACACACACACACACACACACACACACTTTCTTTCTCTTTGTTTGTGTGCAGTGGGACTGCCCCCGATGTCCACGCATATTGCAGAGCCACATCAGCTAACACAGCCCCACAACATCCAGAGCCTTAAGGAACTACTAGCGGATCTCATCCACCCCCGGAGCCTTGCCACAGAGGAGCTTTTAACCACCTCAGTGAACTCAGCACCAGAGATTTGAGAGGCCAACCCAAAGTCCCAAGACTCTGCTTCCTTACTGGAAGACATGTTGGTGGGATTGAGGAGGTCTTATGCCTTATGTCTTATGAGTATTCTGCCCACCGATCCACAACGTCCTGAGTACAGGTCAGCAGCACACCATCCCCACTATAGATAGTGTTGGTAGTGCACTGCTTTCCCCCCTAAGGATCCGGATGGTGGACCAGAATCTCCTCGAAGCCGTACGGAAGTCTTGCCCCATGGTCTCACCGAACTCCTCCCATACTCGGGTTTTTGCCTTGGCGACCAACTGAGCCGCGTTCTGCTTAGACTGCCGGTACCCATCAGCTGCCTCTGGAGTACCACATAAAAGACCTGACAGGACTCTTTCTTCAGCTTGACAGCATCCCTAACCACCGGTGTCCACCAGCGGGTTCGGGGGTTGCCACTATGACAGGCACCGACAATCTTGCGACCACAGCTCCGGTCGGCCGCCTCAACAATGGAGGCACGGAACAGGGTCCATTCAGACTCAATGTCCCCCGCCTCCCCCGGAACATTTTGGAAGTTCTGTCGGAGGTGGGAATTGAAGCTCCTTCTGACAGGAGACTCTGCCAGACGTTCCCAGCAGACCCTCGCGATATTTTTGGACCTGCCTGGTCTGACCAGCATCATCCCCCACCATCTAAGCCAACTCACCACCAGGTAGTGGCCAGTTGACAGCTCCACCCCTCTCTTCACCCGAGTGTCCAAGACATGCGGCCGCAGGTCAGATGAAACAACAACAGTGTCGATCCTCAAGCTGCGGCCTAAGGTATCTTGTTGCCAAGAGCACATATGGACACCTTTATGTCTGAGCATGGTGTTCATTATGGACAATCCATGACTGGCACAGAAGTCCAATAACAAAACACCACTTGAATTCAGATCAGGGGCCATTCCTCCCAACCACACCTCTCCAGGTCTCAATGTCGTTGCCCACGTGAGCGTTAAAGTCCCCCAGCAGAACGAGGAGTCACCGGAAGGAGCGCTCTCCAGCACCCCCTCCAATGTCTCCAAAAAGGGTGGGTAGTCTGAACTGTAGTTTGGTGCATAAGCACAGACCACAGTCAGAACCTGTTCCCCCACACGTAGGCGGAGGGAGGCTACCCTCTCATTCACTGGGGTAAACCCCAACGTACAGGCACCAAGATGGGGGGCAACTTGTATGTCCACCCCTGCTCGGCGCCTCTCAGTGGGAGCAACTCCAGAGTGGTAGAAAATCTAACCCCTCTCAGGGAAACTGGTTCCAGAGCCAGAGCCATGCGTTGAGGTGAGTCCGACTATATCTAGTCAGAACGTCTCAACCTCACACACCAACTCAGGCTCCTTCCCCACCAGAGAGGTGACATTCCATGTGCCAAGAGCCAGTTTCTGTAGCCGAGGATCAGACCGCCAAGGTCCCCGCCCTCGACTACCACCCGTCACAAACTGCACCCGACCCCTTTGGCCCCTCCCACGAGTGGTGAGCCCATGGGAAAAAATGTTTAGCTTTCTGTTCAAATATCATTGTATTTATCATTGATTTTAATAACATTGAAATCAAGGTGTTCAATATATAGCAGTGTTTAATGGTCATCTTCACATCTAATTCATTTTAGTATCTTGGTTTTGCCTTCTACTGCAGTAAGAGTGGGGTAGTGGGGTTTTTGGGAGTTTAGTGAAAATGTTTGTTGACGGCTGATAACTTGGTTAAATGAGATAACATTTAGAGCATTATGTTTTCTTGTCAGAATAGGTAAAACTTTGTGTAAAGTTTCATTTCAGTCCTTTAAGTATTGTTCCATGACTTCAGCCACACAGCAGGTTTGTGGCTGCTGTAATGAATCAAAAGACACACAAATCAACCTTTTTCTCTGTAACGTCCAGCAATGGTCAGTTTTTAGGTACTTTTTGACCATTCAACGTCTGGTCAAAAAGGAGACATGAGACTGCATGTGTTCCCTTTAAATTGTTAAATTGTTTAAGTCCTGCCTTCATCCCATCAGCTGGAGCTCAGAGCCTCTCTGCAGCTCTGAACACAGATAATGAATTGTCAACAATAATGTTCTCTCCTCAAGGCCCATCCTTATCGTCCCACAGGATTCTTCATGCCTAACACTCAGATCAGTTGCCAAATCAAAGAATGATTAAATATGAACTTCTAAAAACTTAGCTAGATAATCATTAAATAAACATTTGTTTAGTGATACTTATAATAATTATAATTTAATGAAATGTTTTCATTAATCTGTGCTCAATGATTGAAGTTTGAAATGAATGTTATGTTATCATTACAGTGATTGAAATATGTTTCAGCATGTTTATATGGCAAGGTCATCACCATTTGCACTCACACAAGAACAAAGTAAGGTTAAGTTAAACTCATGACACATAGATAGGCCTTTACCCCAGATTAGAACCTCCGTCTCAAAGAAGGCGTGTGTTTCTGAGACTCTTGGTAGTCCTCAAACTTGTCAACCTCTGGTTGGCTACACAAATCATAACATGAGAACATTAAAATCAGATCACTCTGGTGATTCATCAGTTCTAGAGAAAGCTTCAGACCGGCCATCTGAAGCAAACCCTCTTTAACCCATCAAAGCTTTTGACATGTCGTCAAAACCTTTTTGCACCTGCGAAGCTGATACAGCAACAGTTCCTGCAGAACAAGCTGATATTGTTTAGACTCCTTAAGAGTCCTAGATGCGCTGTTCCATCCGTCTGTTGTGACCTGGAGACAAGACCGGTTTAGTGGGGCCGCAGTTTCTTGAATGGACCTCGGTGCCTGGAAGTCCGAGGACTTCGACATTCCAGATCTATCACGAGGGTCTTCAAGTGGGTATGTAGACACAACAGATAGCGTCTGATGTGTTTTGATAATAATCAACTTCATAGTTTAACACAAACCAAATTCTTTTACATCCAGGACTCAGCTTTCCTAGATACGGAAGTTCTGATAACACCACATTCACACATAGGTTTCATACATCATATCTAGTTCCATCCATCACAGTAAAATGTTAACTTGTCAACTTTTAATTGTTTGTAAAATAAATTCTTACTTTTATAAACCTGACTCTTTTCTGAATCAAAACGAAGTGTGTACAATCCCCTAATGAATAAAGAATCCTAGAATCTTCTGATAAACACACAAAGACCAAGCAGGGTTGATATTCCATATTTAGATAGAGTATCACAGCTTATTGGTCATAAGATGAGGTAATATATATATTGAGCTCTTAAAATACTCAATTTACCAAACCCTACAGCTCACTTATTGTTCTTCAGTGCAGACATAAATAGGTGAGCACAAGGTTGATTTGTGTGTCTGGATGCTCCAGCTGGCGTAACCGTGACTTTGCAGCTCTGGCGTGTTTGAAATTTTATGCTGTGTCAATTCGATGGTGAAAATGGACCCTTTTGATTCATTAAACTGCAATAGCAAGTCTGCCAAACAAGCTAGCTTTTAAAGACAAAACACGAACACAGAATTCTCACCCCTCCTGTTGGGAATCATCCCTAAGCCACAAGAACGCACATTGCCAGAGGAAACGAGATAGCGCTAAACACCAGTCATCGTTTTCTCGGTCCAAACATCTTTCGTGGTCTGTGACTTCCAATGTTGTTTTTCTTTTTGGGACTCTGGTAGTTTGTCCAAGAAATTGAAGTGGTAGCTGCCGGCTGTTTCTTCTCTGTTAAGCCTGGGGCACACTATGGACAGATGTACCGCACCGCCGTTTTGGGAAAACAAATGGCCATACAGGATGCGCCGCTGAGCGCTTCTTGGAAAATCGTGCGACTGTCACAACATCATGCGGGAGTTGAGAACAGGAAGCAGAAAGTGACTCTTTTGTTTTTCCGTGATCAGACTTGCCGTCGTGTTTTGAGATATTCTAATTCATTAAAAATGGGTAAATATGCTATTTATTAGAATATTTTAAGATCAATAATACTTTAAAATTGTCAATACTGCAGTTGGGTTTGTGTCTTAAAGTCGTTACGCGTCATAATTTCTTTTGTAAAGTACTCCACAATGTTAACAGCTGCGACGCAGCGGCACTTCAAATACAACTGATGCCCATCTTCAGCGCCTCGGCGCGAACCGGCGCTCTGGGACGCGGCGCTGCGCTCCATGTGTACCCACTCGCAGTAACTATAATGGCTTCTATTTAAAATGGCGGAGCAGGTTTGGTGCGGGTGCTGCACGGGCACGGCACATCTTTCTCCAGTGTGCCCCAGGCCTTATTATTGAGAGGAGAACCTATCTCATCAGTGGAGCTCTTGCTAAATGTGTGAGTGCATAATGAGTGGAGGACCCGGGTAAATGTAGAAGTGCGGTTTGGTTAGACCGACAACCAGATGGTCCAGTCACTGGTTTCGGCCTGAGCCAAATTGGCTGAGGTTTTTAGGCAAATGTGAAAGAACCGCTTCTTTAATTTTTTCGTTTCTTTTTTTTAATCTCCATTATATATTTATAGCTACACTATGTCAGAATGTGGTCAGGAGGCATGGAAAATATTTGAAGATAATTTGTTTTGCAGGTTTGACATTGTAGCAATGGAATAACCAATTCTTCCTCTATTTGAAAACATGTTCCTCTAGCTCTGTTTTTATAAAACTCTCCCTTTTCTTTCTATTCCTAGTTCACGACTAGCACAAGTCTCCAAATCAGGATTTTGGGATTAACTGGCACCATTAAAGTCTGCAGAATCTGAAGACCTCTCAGATTTTTAAGCTTTAGTCTCCAGTCGTGTGAGTTCACTTCATATGTTTTGCTGTTACTTGGCTTTTGCTCCAGTCCAGGGATTTGTTTGAACCACTGTAGTGAGTTCATGGCCCTCATTACATCTCCACTGTATTTGCCTGGGCTTTTCATTTATTTCCCCACACTTTTCTCCAAAAACATCCATTATTGTGTCTCGGGGTAACTTTTAGATGCTACTTCCATTTCTTGGAGGTTAAGCTGAGGGTCCTCTCTTGTAGATGTCTGGCTGCTGTGTTACTTTTTCCTAAAAGAAACTAAATTTGACCCACCTCTGTCCCTTTTTCCCCATTTGTCCCTCCCAGCAGCTAGAGAACTTTGTTAGCATTATGTTGAGAGCTGTGGACAGAGATAGTGGAAAAGTACTATTTATGTTACAGAACAACTGAAGATTTAATACCAGTGACCTGCTCTGATTCTCTTTAGCAATAAACATATGCTCATACATAACAGTCAATAATTCTTGCCTCGCCTGCTCAAAAGGGCTCAAAAGACTTTCTTGCTATTCTTGGTCAGTAAATCTGTATGTTCTATTCTAATGAAGTTGAAATGAACACAAATTAGTGAACAGAGAGGTGGGAGTGACGGGAAAGAAACTGACATTTTAAGCTAAGGAAATTAACAATCCACTCTCTGATGCACATGTGCGTGTGCGCGCACGCTCATGACTTGCAGTTAGGTTATTTTGTTTGGGAGATTGCAAAAAAAAAAAGTATATATGTACGTGAAGAGGTTACTTACTTACATATTCCTCCCTGATAAAGCCTTGTATGACCGTCTTCACCACTCTCTCTTTATGCTGCTCTCCCCACCTATTCCACCTTCCTCTGGATCCTTATGTTTGTCTTCCACTGATTTCCCTCTTTCCTATTAACTGTCTTTCTTTCTTAACATTTTTTTAATCACAATTGTCAATTTTTTGCTCATTTGAAATCTATTTTGAACCATTTTTTAAATTCATTTTTTTTTAAATATTTTTACATTTATTGTTTTTGTGAAGCGCCTCGTGATTTTTATCTTGAGAGGTGCTATAGAAATGATATTTTTCTTCTTCTTCTTCTTCTTCTTATTCTTATTCTTCTTCTTATTCTTCTTATTCTTATTCTTATTCCATGTACCAAGAAACTTCTTGCAGAAAACTAACCCAAAGAATAACTGGTTGCAACACCTATTTAGAGAACATGAGCTTGTGTGTGTGTGTGTGACTGTGTGTACTTGTATTTACTACAAATTGAGGGCCATTTTCACTATTTTCCCAACAATGTGAGGACTCACTTTTTTATATGCAGTTGGTTTTAGATGTATGGTGTGAATTAAGTTTTAGTTAGAGTTAGGGTTAGGAATAGATCAGCATTGGTTATGATTAGGTTTAGGGTATGGGTTAGGCATAATATAGTCACAAAAATGGATGGAAGTCAACGGATGGTCCTCACTATGATAGAAAGACAGACGTGAGTGTGTGTGTTTAGGTATAGATGCTGAAATTGTGAGATAGACTTTTTTAGCCACAACAGCATCAACAGGGGATGTTCTCCCTGTGTTTGTACTTTTTGCAATAATTGCAGCTCAAAATTTAAGAAGTAAAAATGCTTTAAATGTGTTTTTACCGGGGAGAGAATTTATGTTTGACATTTTCTAACTGATCTGCAATCAATAATGTCTTTGAAACCTATGGCTCGTTCGTTTGTGTCTGCTTCTAATTCCATCATGAATTTTCTGAATGAGCAAGCAGGTTAACATTTCACTTCTGACCTTCAGGCTTTTAGACTGATGTTTAATGTAGCAGTGATGTAGCTAACAGATATTTTACAGACGTAGAGCAAAACATTTTGAATAGATTTCATATTAGCTTGTGGGGCTCTGTGACCATTTCAAACTTCTTCTTTGTCTAGCAGTAGTTATAGTATTCATAACAGTAATGGTAATTGCCGTAGTGCTAGTAGTATTAGTAGTATTTTTCCTGAAAATGAATGAAGCCTCTGCTGGAATGCTGTTGAACATATTTCTCCCTGATAAAGCCTTTAGTTGATGCGCACAGATTAAATTCATCACATTAATTATTTCTCCTCCAAATTGAAAACAAGTGCATCAGATCACCATGGCTGCCATCCAAAGCACCAACAGCTAGATTATTTACATGACAAATGAATCGACATCAGGTTTTTAACTCACATGCTCATGTCATTTGTATGGGTGTCGTGTTTGACATGTTTTAATGTAATGAAAAACTAATTACGAAAATGTGGTACCCCTAAAAAATAAACAAAAGACTCTTGACCTTGCTGGTAATTGACACTTTGACAGATGAAAATAAATGAGAATTGATTTTCCCCATTCTCCTCTGAGTGGTGCTGATGGTGAAATAAAAGCCAAAAGAAAAAGTTGGCGGGTGTTAATTGATCCTGTGAATAATTTCAGGATCGTTTTTCTGTGCGATCATATTTTTAAAGAGGCTTTCTATGCAGAGCAGATTTAATACATGCAACATTAGGAAAGGTGGGGAAAAATGGGAAGATTTCCAACTCAGCCTCCTTGGGAAGGTCATTTCCAGGGTTTGGAAGACAAATGTCTGATTTTTGAAGGAACAAAAGATATTAAAAAGCATGAGGGAGTTTGCTCAACCCAATTGTGTTGTGTTGACCAGGAGAAAGCTTAGAGTATCTCCATGTGTTCTTCAGGGGGTAAAAGCTTTTATGTTCCCTTTTGAAGGAAATTTCATCCCTGCTCAACCAATATAAGCTGTAAGAAAAATCAACAAAAATGCAAACTATCTTCAGATTATATCAATGCTGTATGTGGATGGCGTCCTATTGGTACCATTGCTGAAATGGGTTGCAGCTCAGTGTCAAAGGCACTTGGGATAATGATGATCAATACCTCCAAGTCTGAGATCATGGTACTCATCTGGAAAAGGATGGGTTGCCAAATCAGAGATGGGAAAGACCCAGGTTGATTCAGACCCGAGCTTTACTGGTCACATTAAGGCTCTTACTATTAAGAATCTTACTAGATCAGCGTTTTATCATCTTCATCAAACTGGACATAGAGAAACTCATTAAAGTGTTCATCTCCAGCAAGCTGGACTATTGCAAGGGTCTTTTGACTGGTCTTCCCGAAAAAGCTGTGAAGCAACTGCAGCTTATTTGGAATGTTGCTGCAAGAGAGCCGAGCACATCACCCCTGTTCTTAAATCGCCACACTGGTTACCAGTAAACTACAGAATCGATTTCAACGTGCTTCTACTAGTTTATAAATCACTCAAAGGCATGGGGCCAAAATGCCTGTTGGATCTGCATATATAAATATATAAGCGAGTTAGTACCCGCTAGCCACTGAAGCTGCAACTACTAACAACTAACCAACCAAAGAAAACTTCTTTGGGTCTAAAATAAACATTTTAAATTAGCTGACTTACATTTACACTTAAAAAAGTGCCCCCGAAGTGGCTGCCAACTCACAAATCATCGTCCTTTTTGAAAATACGTCACTGTATTCTGGGAAATTTTTGACCAAGGCTAGACTACAAGACAACTCCCGTGTATCCTTGCTCAGCTAGCTAAACGGCTAACAAACTGAGAAATCACGCCTCGGTAGAACATGAACATTGAAACACGTCTTGGCGGTTCCTGATGACGTATCTCCTAAGCAACTGGGGCGGGGCCAAGACATCAAGGCGAGGTTCCTTGGCATTGAGAAACACACACAGTTCCAATCTTGCCTTGCCGAGTGGACTTTTTAGCGCAACAATGCCCTCTAGAGGCTGGTAGATGTAAACATAAACACTGTTTCGTGCCCGACAGAATAAAAAATTTATTACTTATCTTTTTAAATGTAGCTTTAAAAGGAGAAATTGTACATTCATTTTGCACACCTCTGAATACCCCATGAACGTAATTTTTTTAATATAGCTTTTTATTAGAATGTTTCATACTTTAAAGCTAAAGGGGCAGTCTTATTGCTAACATCCTGAACAAACCACCAGTTCAGATCGGTGAATCTCTCCATCCCTACTGTAGACATGGGACTCATTAGAGAATTTGTATCTGACAGCTGTTCTGATGCCTTGGAGTCTAGAAGAGCCGGAGAGAAGGAAGTCTGCAAATTTTTGCCTAAGCTTTTGCTAACATGACCCAGAGCCTCATAAGCAGATAGTACTGTTTTAACTTTTTATACATTTAAAATTATTTTAAAGTTTAAGTGTTTTTAAGTAAAATTCAGCATAGGGAATTGTAAAAAAATGAATTAAATTAGTTATACTAAATTCATCATGATTTACAATTTTCTCATGTTTAAATTTTTATTATGATATTCATTTCAAACCCAAGTATACCTATTTACTTTAATATGTAAACTCTTTGTATTGATCCTCTCAGCTGAGCTCTTGTGCATGCATCCCTCCATGTTACGTCCTCTTGCACACTACAAGATCAGGATTGAGTCAAGACTTTAATCTAGGAAAGGTAAATGATTGTTTCTTTTCGAGCACATAAATCAAATGTGCTAAAAACATTTTCAGATCTGGGAGGTAGAATCAAAGTTGTCACACTTAAAATCTTCAGTCAGCTGTTTACAGCCACTCTAAGTCAAACACTCAAGTGGTCAAATCTCTTTTTTGGCTGATCATAAATATACCATCCATCCATACATCCATTTTCTGATCACGCTTCATTCTATTTATGGTTATTAAATGACATATTTCATTAGAATAGTTGATCTAACAGTGATAACCAGCCTATGTTGTAATGACCTTCTGTGCAGGTGTTTAACATCAACTTGGGGGCTTAAAGGCCCAGTGTGTGATATTTTTACCAGTTTACTATCAAATCCTGTGTTTCCATTTCACAAATGTGTCCTTTTTCACTAATATTTCTCACCAACATCAATTGTAAATTTTCCTCTCAACTTGAAATTATACATTTTTATATACATAAACTGTGGTTAACGCTCCATGGTCATCCACCATCTTGAAATACAGTAGCTGTTTAGGGACATACGAGCTCCACGTTACCCGTTTGGACTGTGACTGTAACCTGAAAGAACCAGCAGAGGGCAGCAGTGCACCCTGGAAGCTTGGAGTCTGGTAATTCAACTAAGAAATAGAAAAGAATAGCTACACCGTTGCTGTACTTGTTAGTAGGGCTGTAGCGAAGCCTCTATGACGTCGACGGCTCGATTCTAAAAATTCGTCGACGTCAGATCCGGTAGTCGACGCACCGCGCCCACTTGTTGCATCCCCAGGAGTTTGTAAATAGAGGTGGAATCTGCCTGTTTTTCCTCTAGTTCGCCCTCTCCTCCGCCTTCACTAACATCTCCGCCAAATACCGAAGACCCGGAACAACGTCCGTCCACTACTAGATTATTTTCCTGTTTTGCCCCTTCGTCTCCCGGCAACGGACAACAACTTCCGGGGTCAGATGTGCTGCTTCGTGTCTATCGCAGATGTAGAAAATCACCGGGAGCGCTTCTCCCTTCATTAAGGAGCTTCTTTCAGACATGAGGAGAGCTGTTTTGGTGGTAGCAGTCTCTCCTCCATGCTGGTCTGTTTGCTGCTGGGTGTTTTTGGTTTATTTAAACTTGGTAACTTGAACTTAACGTTGGTAAAGCTACTGTTAGCATTTTCGCTAACAGCTTCTTGCGTTTGGATAAGCTGTTACGTTTTGGTTTAGAGTTGATCTTTATCCAATCCAATTTTATTTATAAAGCGCATTCACAAGGCATTACAACCAAACAAGGCGCTGTACACTAGAAATGTTGGTTAATTAAACAAGCGATATTTAAACATGTTGAACACATATAAAAAATAATAATTTGTGGTGCAGATCTCCCTTT